TTTTTTTTTTTTTTTTTTTTGAGACAGGGTCTCAACTGGTCGCTTGGGTTGGAGTGTGGTGGCACAATCTCAATTCACTGCAACCTCTGCCTCCTGGGCTCAAGCGATTGATCCTCCCACCTCAGCCTCCTGAGTAGTTGGGACCACAGGCATGCACTACCACACCTGCCTAATATTTGTATTTTTGGTAGAGACAGGGTTTTGCTATGTTGCCCAGGCTCAAACTCTTAGAATCAAGCAATCTGCCTGCCTCTCAAAGTGCTGAGATTACAGGCATGAGCCACCACGCCTGGCCTATTCTGTTTTTTTGTGATCAGGAACTTTTCCATGCAAAGTGAGAAGGGGCATCTAGGAGTCAGTTCTGCCAGGGAATACAGACAGCACTCTTCAAGGACATTACCACCATTACCTAGGTCATGCCTACAATAACCATGTGACATTTTCAGGGGATATCAAAACAACTCTTTAACCCCTGAAAAATAAAGCAAGAAATGGCTGGGCGCGGTGGCTCATGCCTGTAATCCCAGCACATTGGGAGGCTGAGGCGGGTGGATCATGAGGTCAGGAGATCAAGACCATCCTAACAAGGTGAAACCTCATCTCTACTAAAAATACAAAAATTAGCTGGGTGTGGTGGTGGGTGCCTGTAGTCCCAGCTATTCAGGAAGCTGAGGCAGCAGAATGGTGTCAACCCGGGAGGTGGAGCTTGCAGTGACTGAGATTGCACCACTGCACTCCAGCCTGGGCAACAGAGTGAGATTCCATCTCAAAAAAAAAAAAAAAAAAAAAAAAAAAAAAAAGAAAGAAAGAAGGAAAGAAAGAAAGCAAGAAATAAGATAGTAGAGTAATATCAAAGAAGAAGCTTTGAGCCTCTGACTCCTGGAACATTCGGGTAAGGACTAGATAATATACCAAATTCAATTGATTTTTAAAAGAGTTGATGTCTGTAGTCTGAATATTTCATAATTATAAATCTTTCTGTCAAAGCAACTCTGAGTACATATTTCACTTTACTGAAAAAGAACTATGAGAAGCACAAAAACATGCCATTCTTGCTTCTAGGTATGTGGAAAACCATTATTTTGTAAGTTCTCTTAAAACTTTGTTTAAACAAAAAGATTATTGCATAGTAATTTTTTATACTATTCTTAATTGTGATATTTCAACATAAAAATGGAGCCATCATCTTTGGAGACTGCCAAGTCAGACGGCATGATAAAAACCAGAAAGCAATACATGCCTCCTCTTCAAAGTCGCCTTAAGCACACCAAACTATAAATATTTTAGGCTTGGCACAGTGGCTCACATCTGTAATCCCAGCACTTTGGGAAGTCAAGGCAGGAAGATCGCTTGAGGCCAGGAGTTTGAGACTAGCTTGGGCAACATAGCGAGACCCTGTCTCTACAAAAAACAAATAAAATAAAAAATTAAAACCAATAATTATTTTAAGTTATAAACCAGTTTGATCTCATTTTAATAAGTAAATCAATTCTCTATTTAAAAAGAGGTGAGGTGAGTTAGAAACAGGGGAAGGATCTGAAGAAGAATCTAAAGACTATTCATCATAAGTACTAATTGAATGCTTTTTATTTTCTTTTTCACTTATTTATGAATGAATATACATTACATTTTTATTTGATGGCTTTTTGGAAAAAGTAAATATATACCATAACTCTGTGTGTGTGTGTGTGTGTTGTGTGTGTTGGTAATAAAACTTTCTGAAACAAAATAAACTGACTATATAGATAAAGGTATCCAATTCCAGCTATTTGAAGGGCCTGAATTAGTTTAGGTATGTCATTTAGAATGGCCAAATACCTATAATATTCAGAAATTGCTCTTTGAAATTTTCCTCTATTAGAAAATACCCACCTAAATACCCAATGATACATGCCAAAGGTTTCCTAGTGCTTTTGCTTTTCAGTGGACTTCCGGATAGTTCAGCATGTCTGTCTGCATCTGAGGAGAGAAAGAAACATGGAGATAACCAATGAAACAGATTTCTCTAGCCAGACTACACGCACCACAGAAATAAAGGTACAAGTAGAAAACAATACAAAATAGCCACCAGATTCCTACATAATTTCCTTTTGGGCCTGAGAAAACGGTTTCTAGTTCTGGTTCCCAATTTCTAAATGGGATTTATATAAAATAACATGTAATTTTTAGTAGTAGTATTTTGAGACGGAGTCTCGCTCTGCCACCCAGGCTGGAGTGCAACAGCGTGGTCTCAGCTCACTGCAACCTCCACCTCCCGGGTTCAAGCAATTCTCCTGCCTCAGCCTCTTGAGTAGCTGGGATTACAGGTAAGCACCACCATGAGGGGCTAATTTTTGTGTTTTTAGTAGAGACAGGGTTTCACCATGTTGGTCAGGCTGGTCTCGAACTTCTAACCTTGTGATCTGCCCACCTGCTCACGCCTGTAATCCCAGCACTTTGGGAGGCCAAGGCGGGTGGATCACTTGAGGTTGGGAGTTCGAGACCAGCCTGACCAACATGGAGAAACCCCGTCTCTACTAAAACACAAAATTAGCTGGGCATGGTGGCACATGCCTGTAATCCCAGCTACTTGGGAGGCTGAGGCAGGAGAATTGCTTGAACCCAGGAGGTGGATGTTGCGGTAAGCCAAGATCGTGCCACTGCACTCCAGCCCGGGCAACAAGAGCGAAACTCCATCTCAATAATAATAATAATAACAATTTACATGCAAGAGATACAGACAGCACTCTTCAACGACATTACCACCATTATCTAGGTCATGCTTACAATAACCATGTGATGTTTTCATGGGCTACCAAAACAACTCATTAACCCCTGAGAAATAAAGCAAAAGAAAAAAAAGGTACCAGAGCAATATAGAAAACACGCACTTTAAAGCCCCACATGGGTATAGCTAATGCACATCCAACACACTCACACTTTTTTATTGCGTGTGCCCATCTCAGAAATATGCTTCATTTCTAGCCATGGCATTTCTGTATTATAGCAGAAATAATGGCTGTAAAGCGCAAGGTGGAATCAGTCTTAATGTAAGATTGATTTGACATGGAAGATAAATGACAGCTGCTAAAGGCAACAAACTTGGCCATCTCTGACCTAGGTGGGCCATACTTGGCCATCCCATCCCCACGTGAAGGCTTAACTCATCTTGGCGAAACTCAATTGTTAGACTAGGGATTTGCAAGAGTAATAATGGGCCATTTGGTTTTATCACTGGTTTTCTACCCCTGATCAAGCTATGTCATTGGTGCTGAGATTTAAAAGGCTACCTGTGTGCAGAGTATTTCATCCAACAGTCAGAATAATAAGAAACTGTGAGGATGGGTATTAGCTAATCAAAGTTTTCATGATGCTCATTATACCCTATTGTAAGACACTTTCAGACAAAGAAAATTAAAGCATACAATACAAACATTCTGTGTTTTAATTAGTTGTCACTTGGAAGAGCAGATGTGCAAGACAAAGGGACAAAACGTGTACTGAAACACTTTAATATTGTCATAAATATTAACAGAATCACTTTAACTTGTTTGATTCTACTATGTTTACGCCTTTTCCCCACCTTCAAATATTTGACAAAAATGTCCTACAGGTTTTCTGATTTACTGAAGAATTTTTCCTTTTGCAAATGGAGACATTTCTGGGCATACACATACGGAATTTCCTTTGATATCCATAGGAATTATTTGCTCTACTAGAGTTAAAATGTGCAAGTCTGGAACTTCAAATAATTTTAAGTAAAAATTAAGTTTTTATGAGCTCTAGCCCTTTCACAAAACAAACTGTTTGGAAAATTATTAAACAGAAGATGGAAAAGAGCATTAAAAAAAAATTCTCGTTGTGGTTAAAAAAAAACACAATGAGATACCATCTCACACTAGTGAGAATGGCTATCATTAAAAAGTCAAAAAATAACAGATGATGGCAGAGAAAACAGAGGTTGCGGAGAAAAAGAAATGCTATACACGGTTGATGGGAGTGTAAATTAGTTCAACCATGTGGAAAACAGTGTGGTGATTCCTCAAAGAGCTGAAAACAGGACTATCACCCAACCCAAAGGAATATAAATCATTCTATCATAAAGACACATGCATGTATATGTTCATTGCAACACTACTCACAATAGTGAAGACATGGAATCAATCTAAATATCCATCAATGATAGACTGAATAAAGAAAATGTGGTACATGTACACCATGGAACACTATGCAGCCAGAAAAAAAGAATGATATCATGTCCTTTGCAGGAACATGGATGGAGCTGGAGGTCACTATCCTTAGCAAACTAATACAGTAACAGAAAACCAAATACTGCATGTTCGCACTTATAAGTCGGAGCTAAATGATGAGAACTCATGGACGCACAGAGGGGAGCAACAGACACTGGGGCCTATTGGAGGGTGGAGGGTGAGAGGAGGAAGAGGATCAGGAAGAATAACTAATGGGTACTAGGCTTAATAATTGGATGACGAAATAATCTGTACAACAAACTCCCTTGACACAAGTTTACCTATATAACAAACCTGCACATGTACCCCTGAACTTAAACGTTAAAAAAATAAGTTTGAAAACATTAAAATAGACAAAGCACATACTGCAGAGAGCCTAAAACAATCAGGAATCTGAATATATAGCCCCTAGATATCAGCTAATTATTATGCAACCACTGACAAGTATAAATGATCCAATTTCTTTTCTTCCTATTCAGTTGATTTCCATGAGAAAAAATAAATTACTAAGCTATGAAGCTTTTCACCTAATGTAGAATAATAGTGAAGATACAGGTGGAAATATAATGAACATATTGTGGAAGAGTAATCTAAACACTGGAAAGCAACCCAAACCCTGTAAGGATCAAATGCCTGCCAAACCACTGAGTTAACACTACATAATTTCTTGCTAATACTACTGATTCACCTGAAATTCAAGCTATATTTGGGATGAGGACAAGACAAATTTTTCTTTCTTCTCTATTAATAAAATAAAGCTGGAATGAGTCATCTTGGTTATTTCCTCAATGTCTTGACAAAGGCAATCACTGTATTACTAGTAATAAGATTTGCTTTTTATTCCAGTCTATACGGCCCAAAGGAAAACTGCCTATATGGCAGCAATTGGTAGACATTGATGGCTCTTATCAACAAATCCATCAGAGAGGTCATCAACACAATTCCCAAAGAAGTTTCATTTTAAACTATATTTGCTTCTAATTTCTCATTAAAAATAGTAGGATTAATTATGTGATGTTCCAAGTGACAATTTGCATTACAGGGTATCTCTGAGCGGGAGATCAAAGCTTTTTAGAAAGATGCATATTTCACTAATCCTCATTATATTTTACAGAAAGTTCCAGCTACTCAAGAGGAGGAGGAGGGAGGATCCCTTGAGTTAAGAGGCTATAGTGAGCCATGATCACGCCACTGCACTCCAGGCTGGGTGACAGAACAAGACCCTGTCTCAAAAAAAAAAAAAAAAAAAAAAAAGTAGTTGGTGGCAAGAATTATGTCTCAACTGTGAAAAAATTACAGTGAAAAGATTCTAGGACTGCCTTAGTCACTCTTCAACATAAGAAAAGTTGTAGCCATTCAGTAGGAAAAATACGGTTGGCCCTGAGGAAATAGCCATAAGCAGGATTGTCTGGCCCACACTTAAGTTGGTTAGAAGGAATGCTGGGCTGCACTCAATGCCAGGCCAACAGTGGTGCCACTTGTCAGCCAGTCCTTGCTCCCAAACTACTCACCTAACTCCACTTCAACATAGAAATACACATTTGAACTGCACAGATAATGAAAGCAATCTGAGAAATGCCCAAAGAACCCAGAAGGAATCAAAACCTGTCCAGAGAGAACATCTGTATCTCACTCAGGTCACTTGACTGGTCACAAGGAATACATCTTTAATTTCCTAGAGCAGGGGTCCCCAAGCCCCAGGCCTCAGACCAGTACTAGTGGTAGCAAGTCAGGAACCGGGCGGGACAACAGGTGAGCAATACTGCCTGAGCTCCGCCTCCTGTCAGGTCAGCAGCATTAGATTCTCACAGGAGCGCAAACCCTATTGTGAACCGCCACTGGAGGGATCTAGGTTGCCTTCTCCTTATGAGATTCTAACTAATGCCTGATGATCGAAGTTGGAACAGTTTCATCCCAAAACCATCCCCGCCCCCACCACCCAGTTTGTGAAAAAATTGTCTTCCATGAAACCGGTCCCTGGTGCCAAAAAGGTTGGGGACCACTGTCCTAGAGGATGATCTATATTTCCTTGGGGTTAACCTAGAAATACATTATTATGCCGGGTGCGGTGGCTCATGCCTGTAATCTCAGCAGTTTGCGAGGCCAAGGTGGGCGGATCACCTGAGGTTGGGAGTTCGAGACCAGCCTGACCAACATAGAGAAACCTTGTCTCTACTAAAAACACAAAAGTAGCTGGCCATGGTGGCGCATGGCATGCCTGTAATCCCAGCTACTTGGGAGGCTGAGGCAGGAGAATGGCTTGAACCTGGGAGCAGGAGTCTGAGGGGAGCGGAGATCTTGCCATTGCACTCCAACCTGGGCCACAAGAGCAAAACTCCGTCTCAAAAAAAGAAAAGAAAAGAAATACACTATTACTTTTGTTGAAAATCATGCTTATTTTTCTGTAATGTTTTGGAAATACTGGGGGCAGTGAGATAGAAACCCTGCAATATACACACAGAATTCACAAAAATATCCCACATGTGCATTCAAGACCCCTGTCAAGATAAAACTATCAGTAGAGTTTGCTTCTAGAACTGGAAAGGTATTTTTAAAGAAGCCACAAAACCGATTAATTTTTTTTATAAATTCAAGTATTAATATGTCTTTTTAAAAAAAAAATCTGCTTGGCAAATACATCATAAACAAAGTCAAACAGCAAACGAGGAACTATTTGTATCACATATCACAGATTAAGAACTAACTTTGTTAAAATATAAAAAGTTCCCA